CCCCCAGGGCCCCGTCCCGCCTAACCCTGGAGCGGTTGACCACGAGATCTAGCCCTTTGACTTTCCACGGACGGGCTTTGACCAGTGGGCCTCTCCACCCGGTTGTGTCAGGTCAGCACAGAGGGACACCTGGGAGCAACATTTGGGGCCAAACCGACAGCTACATCCCCTCCGTGTAGACCTGATGCGTCCGTTTCCCCCCTCCAGGTGCCGGCGGCGGCGCTGTCCGTTAGGGGGACCACGCCCCGGAGATGTGTGCCGCCTCTTCGGACATGCCACAACACCACCCGGTTGTGGTAGGTCGTCCCATAGAAACACTTCGGAGCAACGTCCCCTCCGTATAGACCCGATGTGGCTGTTTCCGCCCTCCAGATGCCGGCGTCGGCGTTGTCCGTGAGGGGGGCAGACCGCGGACGTGAGGGGGTCAAACTCCGGAGACGGGTGCCGGGAGTTTGCAACCACCACAAAACTTCTGTCGGCATAACTGTTTTTGATTTTAATAAAATATAATGTCCTATATTCAAAAGAGCATGACGTCACATTATTACTGTGCTAAAAAATAATACAAACTATATATATATATATATTCATAATCTATGAAAAAAATTTACTAACTATATATATATTCATAATCTATGGAAAAAAATTACAGACTACATATATATTCATATAATAATACATAAAAAAGCATATGCTACATGTCAGTTAATATAATAATACATAAAAAAGCATAAAAAAGCATATGCAACATGTCAGTTAATATGCCGACGGCATTGCCATCGGCATATAAACGGCAGGGTTTAGGTGGGCGGCGTGCCGCGGATCGCTGACGTGGCGGGTATGCCGACGGCGGCCGTCGGCATATCTGCTGGACGGTGCGCCGCGGATCGGTGACGCGGCATGAGGATATATGCCGACGGCCGCCCGTCCCGGCCGTCGGCATAGATTTGATGACGTTAGCCGCTGATCACGGGCAGGGTCGCCGGGCCCACGGGTATGCCGACGGCCTATTTATGCCGACGGTTGCTGTCGGCGTGTTCGCAGCTCGGCCGACGACAGTTTTATGCCGACGGGTGCCGTCGGCCTAGCTCGTGGTAGCCCGACGGCCAAGATACGCCGACGGCCAGGACGTGGCTGTCGGCATAGCTCAAAGTAGGCCGACGGCGGCCATCGGCATTGTTTTGGCCGTCGGGGTAGGGCCGTTTTCCGGTAGTGCCAGTTACCGCTGACCATCTAATTTATGATGACCTCCAACAACGGGCACATTAATCAGCCAGTGGAAGCGTTGTTTTTTAACCCACGCGTGCGAGGGAGGGGGGCCTCATCCACTTCCGTCCATGTCTGCTCCCCCCCCTCCCCCCACCCCCTTCGTGCTTCCTCGCCGGTAACAACCCAA